GGATTTTGATGATTTTGGGCTCTTAGAATCGTCTTATCTGATGTGGTCATTTTGAAAGTAAAATCATCCAAAACGGATCAGTGAATCAAAGTTTATATTAAAATTTGGTTTTGTAAAATGGCAATCATTTTATGCCTTTATTTGCAATTTATCTTTTAACTTATTTAGTGATACGGGCTGGCCTAAAAAATATCGACCAGGTATCTTCGGAATGTAGGCAATAAGACAACATTGAATACGAATCTCTTATCAGGGCCAGAAAAACACGATCGAACCGAATTTGAATAACTTTCAATCGATGTTTAAAGAGTGAAAAAGGTCTGAATTATTCAAAATCATTCATAAAAAGGTTAGCTCTGATCGGCCGCCACATGGCTGGTCAGCCCGGGCCGGTCCTGATCTGAAACTTTTTTTATATCAGCTTGTATCTTTACAGTTGTTCTCATAAATTCTGGGACAACTGAAAAAAATGCAGACGACCGAATCGATAAGTTTCTGAGTTCGGCCGAAGTCGGTCACTTATTTATTCCAACTCGGTAACTTACCGATTCAGTCATCAGAAAATTTTTCTGTTGTTCCAGAATTTATGAGAACAGCTACTGTATAACTTACTAATATTAACCAATAATTTATTTAATCAATTAATTAGGCCGTGCAAAATTAATTAATCGGTTTTCATAACCAGCCGGGTCAAATTTTGAAAACTTTTAAAAAAATTTTTATGTTTTAATAACTAGGTGAACTAGGTGGATTTTAAAAAAAAATTTTTTTTATAAGGGACGTGTCAGATATTAGCTGAGATTAGTTTACTATAGAGCTCACTCTCTACCCCTCCTGAGAAATTTAGTCATTCTGATTGGTTATATGTATATATTTAGACCTGAGACTTTGTTTACCTCCCTCCCACCCTATGGTATCAGCTGACTTTCCTAAATTTTATGAAATTTTACATATGAATGAAATTTTTTTTAAAAAAAACGGCCGGTTGGGTCTATTTAAAAGTTTCATGTTATGAACCAAATAATTAAATTTGTATGGCATTATTTAATTTTTTTTCAATACAGGATCTTTATTAATTGCAAATTTTTTATATTCGAAAAGAAAAAAACAAAATATAAATTGAAACTGAGAATTGAATATCCTTAATCAAGGTCGGGCGGGTCGGCCCAGAGTTGTAGCATCGGGAAAATTAAATAAGTGTAAATTTGTATTTTCGCAGATTTTATACAGAAATAGCATTTAATTTCTGCAGTTATAGCTACCAAGTTTGAAGTTTTGCTCAGATTTTCATTTGATTTATTATTTAATTTTTTTGCAAATCTGTACGTGAATTGCACTAAAAAAAATTTCCCGATGAGTATCGGCCCGTATCACTAACAGGCCAATTTTAAAAAACCATGCTATACTGAATCAGTATAGCATGGTTTTTTAAAATTGGCCTGTACTATACTGATCTGCCATAGTGATTTGCTATAGCTCCACGTTCAAGGATATTGGACAATCCGATGAATCTTATGATATGCTGCTCACTTCGTAGACATAGACACCTTATTTCATCGACAATTAATTCACTGACAAGTTTATTTTACAAATAATCAATTCACAGACTAGTTCATTTCATAGAAAGTTTATTTATCGATTGCTCAGTTCATAAGTAATTTTTTTCTAGCCAGTGTCAGTTTAGAATTAATGTTAGTGCAATTATAAGAAAAACGTTTCTGTGAAGTGAACTGTTGGGTGAAATAAAACTGTAGCTATTTATGAAATAAATTTATCTAGAATTGATTGCCTGTAAAATAAACTTATCTGAGAATTAAGAACCAAAATCTGAAATAACGATTATATTTTAAACAGTCTAGATGTCTGCCTTTTTTTATTTCTTTTTTATTTTATTTTCATTTTTATTTTATTTTTGATTATCGATATAGTCAAAGTTTTTTCAGATGTTTAAAGTGAGAGAAGTGAAAAACTAATAAGCATTGAAGCCAAAAATGAACATCAACGGATATCTGGTAACAATGTTAATTTCATCACAAAGTTATAAAAAAATAATAGATATAGATGATTAACCCGGGTTAATCAATCTAAAAACGGGGGCTTCGTTAAACATTGCAAAGTATGAAATGTCAATACACAATGTACATGTTATTTAACTAAGTAGTTAAATATCTAGTTGTATATTGTAGCGATTATCTTTAAAGGTACGGTGTTTATTCTTTTAAATTAAAAACAGTTTATTATTGATTTTAAAACTTCCTGATGTTATTCAAAAATTTCTTTTCGTTAGGAATTTGATTTTCACACAATTATCAATATATTACTTTAGACTAGTTAATGTTTCTTTATTTAGTAATTATAATAACCATCACTAAGATCATGATTTTCACCAAAATGATGCTGTTCACGTTTAATTAGTTTGATGTACTTTCTAAAAAGTTGGTATTTGGCATTATTTGACAGGATAAACAAATAGTTTTATAATAAATATTTGATAATATTTTGAAACTTAAAGCACGTGGAAAATAATTCTTAAAAGATAATAAATTTGAAATTGAAAGAAGGTTCTTTAATTGGATTGAATATTGTAACCTTTTAATATATATAAAGAGAGTAAAAACAATCAATTTCATTTATTCATAGTTCTGATTTTTAAAAATTTTCTTTTCAAATCTTAAGTTATTTGTAATCATGAGGTTTTCTATCATTTTAATCACCTTGAATTTTTTGTTTATTATTGTTTATGCAAGATTCAATCAAGAGCACAAAAATAAAGATATCATTAAATTGCAAAACTTTCGTGTCGGTAACACCGAAAAAGATGGCTTTATAAATGCTGCTTTAGCTGATTTGTCTGGTGTTATAGTAGATTCTTTGGTTGCTCCTGCACCACCTTGCGCTGCACAAGATCAATGCGATAAAGTTATCGATATCGCTTATTATTTAGGTAAGAGAACAACTTATTTCCGCTTTTTTTTTTTAATATGTTAATTTATTAATTGATCATAAATGGTCTTAAGGTGGTAGTAAAAAAAAGAAGCTTATTAAGCTTGCTAAATCTTTACTTAAGTCTGAAAAAAACACCCCGAAACCTGGTCTAAGATCCAAACTCTGTTGTGTAAAGCCAAGGCATTTTGAACTTGATGATTTATTTCCAAAACAAGATCCTACTGGTGGTGATGAAAACAAAAAGCTACCTCCATTTGTACCAAAAGAGTATAGAGAGATCAGAAACCTCAATCTAACTCTTGATCACAAATTAATCTTTCCTAACTTTAAAGACTTTCCGAAAAGAGGTAAAAAAGAGAAATGCACATACAAATCTTGATATAAGAAGGCGATCAGATCCATAATAAAAATTTTATAAAACTTTCTTATATTGAGTGGATTTATTATAGACTGGTTTCGGCTTGACTTCTTATATCGAGAATTTAATTAATATTTCTTATATCGAAAGTTACTTGTATTAGGAAATTATTTTTCTCTACTTATAAAATAGCGGATTTAATTCAAGAATAATTTTATTACTAGTTATTTCTTTTTTTATCCTTTACTTCTACATCACAAAATACATTTTTACATAGATCTATGTAGAATTTTTATTTAACTTTATAAAACCCAATGTAGATTTGCATAGTTATTTACATAAGTCTACATGTATTTATATATAGAATTATGTAACATTACAAAAAAAAATTTAATTTAAAAATTAAAGCTAGGATTAGATTTAAAGTTCAAATTGGGGTTTGGGAAAGGTTTTCTAGCATGCGGAACATTTTTACTTAGTATATCGAACACTGATTACCTTAGCCACTTTGAGAAATAGCTAAAGCAAATTAAATCATTTTTATGTAGATATAAATAAGGTCATATAAAATTAATTGATCGTTTCTCATAACCTGGCGAGTCGGCTTTTATAAAATTTCAATCCAAAATTTTATATTATTTATTATGAATACTAGAGGTTGGAACCGTTTTTACAATCCGGATTTTTCAACTTAAAACTAAATCCGGTTTTACAGCTGTTATCATTATTCCTGGGACACCTGGCAAAAAATTACAGCTATTATCATAATTCCTGAAACACCTGATAAAAATTAGCCGAATGATCGTTTGGCCGATTCGGTTAAGTTA